CTACCGATTGACATCTTTTATCGGGGTCCTTCGGCCACGGTTCCTGAAGTCGAACAGAGTGCGACCCCTCGCCCATTAACTCATCATCAACAAACTCGGAGGTCGCATTTCATTTTAAGCAGAGTGTATTTCACATACCTCGACTTGTTTTTTTTTTTCATTTCTCTTTCTTTTTTTACTCATTTTGTGAAATTCCTATATCACACAAGTAACAAAATATATAGTGTATAAAAATCTGAGAAATGCTACGGTCTCATTACGGAACCATTCCGTTTGAGTTTGTAACCATTAAATCAACTATCCCCGACGGTTATATGATGATATAACGATTACAAATCCCGACAAAATAGTTTCGTAACGAAACCGTAACATCTCTCATAAAACCTAATCAACTGAGATAAAATATGAACTAAATCACGACATTCTTAATCCTTTTCCTACCAATAATTGATCCACTTGTTTGCGCTGGTATGAATGCATGATGATACATGTTTTTTAGTTTTGGCAAAAATCTTCATCACCTTTATCCATGAGACAACCATTGTCACAAGTACCACCCTTTGTAATAAAGAAGACCAAAAATTGGGTTAAAAATAAAGATTGTGAATTATTTTAGTTGTGATTTCAACACTTTGGCAACCTTTTCCATTTGACTATTTTTTATTGTACTAAAAAGATAAGTGTTTCAATTTTCATCAAAGTTTTTCAAAAACAATATTATAAGTTGGTTCATTTTCGTTCTCTTTTCTCATCAATAACTTAAATTCATAATTACTCATACATATATATAACTTAGAGGGAAATATTACGGTCCCGTTACGGAAACACTCCGTCAAAGTTTGTAACTGTTAGATCATCATGTAACAATCAGAGATAGTTGATCTAACGGTTACAAACCCCGACGAAATGATTTTGTAATATCTAGACCATAGCATTTTCCTATATTAGATATTAAAAGGTTATTTAATAGCTATCTATACTCAAATTATATAATATTAGAGCAGCTCCAAAGCTGCTCTATTTCTCTCCTTTTGCGCTATTGTAGCGCCAAACTACTCTCCAACCCTACGCCAGTTGTTTGCATTACTTTGGAGATTGCAACAGTGTTGCGCCAGATGTGGCGCAACACTGTAGCATTTCTACAATTATTCTTTTTTTTTTTTATTGTAATGTAATATAAATGATAAATTTTTGTATAATGTGTATTAGTAAATGTATTTTTTATGCTAACTAATTTATAACTTTGTGTAATGTATTTTTTATGTTAAATAATTTATAACTTTGTGTAATATATTTATTATGCTAAATAATTTTGTGTTTTTCTTTATTTATGTATTATAACTTTGTGTAATGTATTTTTATATTAAACATATTTTTATTATTTGGGTAATAAACATTTATATAAGATTAAATATACATATATATATTATTTAATTTGAAATATAAAATGAATAAAAAAATAATATATTTGATGTTGAGTAAAATGTAGAGATAAGGGTTGGAGACGAATGTTTAACTCTACTCTACAATAGAGTAAAATCCGCGCTAGAGTAGAGTTAAGGGCTGGAGATGGTCTTAGTCAATTTCTTAATTTTCTTGCTCCACCCACCCAATTCATAGATTATATAATTATATAAATTATTACACAATAATATATATAGGTAACGAATTGATTAGAGAAGGCTAAATTTCATTTTTAGTCCACTATGTTGGTCATTTTTCAAAAAAGGTCTATCATATAGGGTGTCATCAATAATGGTTCACTAAATTGTCACTTTTAATCAAAACTCGTACAATTGCCAACATAGTGTACTAAAAGTGATTATCATTTTTAGTACACTATGTTGGCTATTATACGAGTTTTGATTAAAAGTGACAACTTAGTGGACCGTTATTGATGATACCTTATATGATGGATCTCTTTCAAAAAAATGCCCAACATAATGTATCATTTTTTTTAAATTTGCCGAAATTAGAGCATCCAAGAGATGGTTGTTACGGTGGAGCAGGAAATTGTTGCTCTAAGCGTCACTGATTATTATGGCCTCATTCTTCTAACCACTCTCAGATATTAACTGTAGGGTCTATTTTTCAAAGCTGCCAAAAGAAAAAAAAAATATAAAAAAATAAAATAAATGACGTATTATAAAGCTATAAACATAAGCCAATAAACAAAATTTTATTTGATGAGAAAAACTGTAGATGCCGATTTTAATAAGTGGTCTTTTTGTACGTCCAAAAGATTAATTAGTGGTGACCAATAATTATATTTCTCTTTAAAAAGAAGTCATTATTGATGACTTAATCTTATCAACTTCACCTTTTCATCTTTTGTGAATTCTAATGGATATACAGAAGGGTAAATAATAATTTGCAATTTGTATTATTCGTGAATTCGGGTTTTGCAGTCTAAAGAATTTTATGTACTAAATTGCAATCTCTAATACACAATTTCTCTAAATTGCAACCTCTGGCCATCGACAGCCCATTTTCCACCGGAAAAGAGAGCGTGCCACACACACGTACCAAATTTGAGGGCAAAAGTGTCATTTCATCTCTCTTCCTCCTACCTCTTTCATCCCCCTCTCTCTCTCTCACACTCTCTCACACACACAGTCAAATCAAAAGTTGAATTCCACGGAGATATAACTGGATCCTTTGATCGGGAGGCCCATATAGTCATCGTAGAGGCCCGTGAAATTTGCGCCTTTCGATGTGATCGGAAACGTGAAACTGTCGATGACAAAAGAGAAAAGACATGAAAAAGAGGCGGCGGAGCCAACCGCGAGGTCGAGAAATCAGACTAGGCTGATGCAAAATGATATCCCGACAGCGACGACAGAGGATGGCGGGAATAACGGTGGCAGCGGGAGGAAGGTCTCGCGATGGAGGCAACATTCAAGAAAGCACCGCTATAGAGAGTGATGCTGCTGGAAGGAAAAATGGGGGCTACGAGGAAGAAGATGAACAGAGCGAAGAGAAATTTCCAACGGACGACCCGGCCTGGTCACAGTACCCAGCCGGGCCTTTTTTTGTTCAATGATCGGCCATACGATTGCCGTTCACAATGGTAAGGAACATTTGCCCGAGGTTAGAATACGCTCCAGGCGGTTATGACTTTCTTGCTTTGACTCATTCGTTTCGACTCAGGTTAGCGGGCGTTAAGCTTGCCGATAGGCGAATGAGGTGACCCACAGTCAATAGCACGAGCATGCACGTTTGATGACACGCCTTAGCTGGGCGAAGGAGGGGCGAAAGATTCCAATTCCGTGGTGGGCAGGCATACGCTCAGGCGCCGATCACTCCTTTGAGGATGCCCCTTCCCGGGATTGCTAGTGGTTAGCCTGTGTTCTAAGGGATTGGTGATCTTCTCTATCTAATGAATGATTGTTTGCAAGATCCGCTCTCCTTTCTCGAACTTAGGAATCTCGGACTGGGCTCACCCCTTGGTACGAGCCAGAAGTCCTGGTTGTGTGTAATTGAGCCGAGACTAGAGACTCCTATAAAGACATCAAAGTAAAAAAAGTAAAAAAAGTTGAAAAAGTAAAAAAAGTTGAAAAAGTTGAATTGAGCAAATTGAAAGAAAAAAAGGCTTCCCTAATCAGCAATCAGATAACTCACGAATCGTTTAATCAAATTGCAGCTCGTGAGTGAATTCCGCGAATTAATAAACGGGAAATGGAAAAATGAAACTTCTTGAAATTTTGATTGCTCTTCTTCTTCAGATCTGAGGCAATTTCGGCAAGTCCGTCCAGATTGAAGTCGAATTTGACTGCGTGAGATTCCGCCGGCGACAAACTAGGGCTCCTTTTCTTGGAGCTACGACGGATGGCGATTCCCTTGAAGTCGAAGATGACTGCGTGAGACTCCGCCGGCGACAAAGTAGGGCTCCTTTTCCCAAGCGTGGCGGCAGATGGCGTCCCGTGAATTTTACTATGTGTGTGAATGTGTGTGAGAGGTAGGATGAAAGAGGAAAGATGAAGAGAGATGAAATGACATGTTAGCCCTCAAATTTGGTACATGTGTCGCACGCTTGCTTTTCCGGTGAAAAATGGACCGTGATGGCCGGAGGTTGCGATATAAACAAATCATGAATTAAAGATTGCGATTTAGTACAAAAAATTCTTTAGGTTGTAAACTCCAAATTGGCATATAGAACATGTTACAAATTATTACTTACCCTATAAATAATTATGCGTCTACATAGAATAATCTGATATAAGTTAAAAGTGTTTACCGTAAATGGGCACACATCAACACTACTACATTACGGATGAAAAATTTCCATAAATGCACTAATACAACATTAATCTGCAATTTAGATGATGTTGCAAAGTCTTCAAAGCTGACGTGATATTTGCCCATAACACTATACACGACACTTTTCTCTGCATGAAGACAATTATTTCCCTACATGACAGATGCAGAAATTATAAAATAAAAAAAAAAAATTGAAAATAAATTATAAAATAAAAAATGAAAATAAAAAAACCATGTACACGTACGTCGCATGTACAAAACCGCAAATACTTAGGTGCACCCTGGCACACCTAGCAAGGTGTGCCAAAATATTTTTGAAATGAACATGTTACATAATAGAATGAACATGAACATGTTTACACATGTTCATTTTATTATGTAACATGTTCATTTTAAATTGCATTGGTACACCTTGCTAGGTGTGCCAGGGCGCACGATCGTAGCACTGGTACACATGACCAAAGATTAGAACAAAATTAAGATAATTAAACCCTTTTTAGTAGAGTAGTTGGAGCAGTTCAAGAAAAGAATGTCCTTTTGTCATTAAATTAATAGCAAATTAAAAGAGCCCCCATTTGTCATTAAATTAATTACATACCTAATTAACCCCAATCCCTAATTCCTATCTCTCTCAATATATATAACTCACCCATTTCCCCCCTTTAACTTCA